TTCCTACTAAGTGATTCACATTTTACCACTTTACTAGAGTGCAATTAGCTGAAGCAGAAAAAAAATGCTCAGTGTAAAGCAGCTCGGCTGAAATTGTTACTCAGCTCTTTAACAGGACCTGGTGAATGTCTTGAGGTGTTGTCATGGGCGTCGGTGTGAGAAGCAACGTTTTGGTTTCTTTGCACACAAATGTTTTTTTCTCTGTTACAGTCAGGGAAACCGAGAATGGGAATTCACTGGAACATGCTGACTCTTTTTGTCTACTGATTTTAGTGTAGACCTGCGAAATGATACTGAAAGTAAGCACAGTATTTAGAAGGAAATGTGGTATTTATAGTCAAAGCGAGGATCTGGCTTCCATTCCTGACTGCTGCACACTTACTGTGTCACTTAGACAAAGAGATTCTTTAATGCACTGGCTTTCACAGTTAAAGTCTGAGGATAGCAAGACCTTTTTGGTAGGCATCCATGTGAGAGAAAGGTATTGGAGGAAAATCAGGTAGATGGTACTGTTAGGTGTGCATAATAACACCTACCTTGCTGGCGCTCCCACGTAGTAGCTGTCATTACAAATGTCAACTGCTAGCAACCTATTCTGATATTTATGGAAATAGGGCAATTCTCTTCCCAGGAAAAGAAAATACTTGATGTGCAGGTAAAAGTGGACTTCAGTGTCGGTCTGCAATAAAAGTGGTTGCTTTAATTATTGTACTGTATTTAATTATTGCGTGGCTGTGAAATAGTGAATGATGCTGTAAGCAGAGCTTTTCCTTCTTGAGAAACAAACATGGAATGTGTTCACGGATTATGAGGTAGTGACATGTTGTTTTGACCTCCTTTAGGTATTGGTAATAAGGAGATGGGGGAAAAGTAACTTTGTGAACCAGTTATATATATAGATGGAATATAAAGAGCTCCCAGTAGCTGGAATGAGACTTTCTTTCTTAAGGCTATATACCGTAATCAGATGCAGTTAATTTTTGCATTCCACTTGTATATTGATACTGATTTAGCCAGTGTCAGCACTGTCAATATCATTAGTAATGTGGCAGGTAGATGGAAATATGAATGTGATTGCATTAATAAATTCTTAATATATTCAGCCTTTCATAAGCACATAGCATTACAATTTATTCGCTATTGTTTAAGACCATTTTAAAGAAGAAGTTGCCTATTGCCGTGCTCCTTTATTGTATCTTTTTGCCAGCAGATCCTGGCTTCAGGTCTTCCTTAAATGATGTTTTGAAGTAAATTTTGTGTAGACATGAAGAATTAATGCTGTATATTTCATATTGGCCATGGCTTGAAGCACTCTATGTATTTTCTCTTGTATATGCCTATGAAAATGCTTCTAGAGCCTGTTGTTGCTTTTCCTGAAGCTACTGAAAGGAAAGTTTACCTGAGATTTCCCAGTTGTTAGAAAACTTGATTCAAAACAGCCCACCACAAATGGAGCTGCCATTTATTTGACTTAAAATATAGTAAAGAAGAAAAACAACCCCACCAAGGCTTTAAAATAAATACTGTACATTTTTATATGACACATGTTATTTCTATTCATAAACCTTAACTAAATTTAGATTTTTATTAATCCAATGTGACCTAAAAATTTTGCATTAACAGCACAATGTGGAATTGGGCTTATTCTCTTTGAATGCAGATAAAGCCATCATCTTGAAAATAGCTCTTTCTGACAAAAAGGTGTTCTTTTGAAATAAAGTCTTATTCACTACATTCCTCTTAGAGTTAATGTGAATTTTAGTGCCTCTAATTTTAGATTGAAGTGAGGTCTAGAATAAAACCCACTGGCTGACAATTGAATTTATAGATAGTTGTGAATATTTCAGGCTTGAATAATAGAGCTGTAGAATTTCAGACACAGAGAGGAAGAGAGAATTAAACTCCAACTGTAGTTTTACACTATAATGCAATGGTGTCTAGGAATTCTTCAGTGTAACGAGCTAAGTAGTAATTAGGAGGGAACTGAGGGAGGGATTTTACAGAGATCTAGCTTAGGCATTATTCCAAATGTTCAGCATGATAATTTGATGGTGGTCACACCTGCCATCCGTTTTAGATGGCTCTTGAATTACTTTTGTTCAGAAGTGGTGCAGTAAGGAAGGAGTGAAAGCCGTAGGTGTCTGTTGCCCACCCACAGCCAGTACCCAGCCTTGTCTCTGTTTCACCTTCTGGGGATTGAGAAAGTTTTTGTTCTCAGAGTCAGGCGCTGTTGTTTTTGCTTTTCTCTGGAATAATTAATGTTTTAACCGAGTTTACGCTTTGCCAGCGTGCACCAATCCGGTCTGTGCTGTGGAAGCTGGAGCCAAAAGCAGCTCTGTCTTGGTTAGTACCAGAACCTGCTACTTCAGAGGCATCAGCAGACTGGCTCTTGTATAGGCAGCACTGGTGATCAGATTTTAATGCTCGTTAGAACTGACAAGGTATTTTGGTTCTGACTGCTTGGAGTGGGAGATAGCCACTTCTGTACTGGCCAAAACAACATGCAGTTGACCAGCTAATTAATTGCAAATGATTGTTTTTTCTTTTTTTTTTTTCAGGAACAGGAAGGGTGACATTCAGGCTCATTATTGCACAAATTAGATTTAAAAAATCAGCAATGGAAGTTTCATACAAGAATGTGCCATCAAGCTGGTTATGACAGACTGTAGGCAGTGACTCCTAGTGCCGTATTTTGAGACTTTATGTGTGGGGTCTTGGCAGAAGGGAGGTGAAAAAAAACCCCAAGTACCTGTTTAGTCAATAAAAGGATCTTAGTGTGTAGAAAAATAATATAAAAAAATTAGTTGGTAAAATGTGAAAGTTAATTGATAATCGTAATCATAGCTGTATAAAATTCAGTGTCAGTGCAAGAGGAGAGAGAGACGGAGAGACACCATGTTTTAGTACCCTAATAACTTCTAACTCTAGTCTGAGATCGTAATGTATGTGAGAGCGGTCCAGTAATTATAAGGTAATAAGTGGAGTGGTGGTGTAAGTGCTCTAAATTAAAAGGAATTCGCAGAGCTGCTGTAAGTCAGTGCCGACCCGCTTTCTTTCAAACGTTGACTTGCGAAAAGTGCTTAGCCCAGAGTGCAAGTAGAAAGACAAGAGAGAGCTATCTATTAATTACAGCACTCATTAACAGTGACGGCTACAAGGCAGCAGATGCAGAAGAAAAGGCACACGCTACTGCAGGCTGGCAAGGGGATTTCCCCCCCTCCAGTTCTTGAGGAAAGGACAACACAAGCAGGTGGTCCACTGTAATAAGATATTTTCACGGCTTTAACCTTCCCATTTCCTTGGTTTATTTGCTGACACCAGATAGCTTGCTCCTTCCTCCTCCCCAAATAAGCCCTGATTTTAAGTTGAGATGGTAACATTTCTGTACATCAATCTGTACATCAATCTGGCTGTTTTCCAAGTACACACGTTGGTTATTTTCAATAGAATTTTACAGTAAAAATCACAACAATTGAGAAGTCTAAAAAAAATCCACGGCATAAAATCTATGGGCTCTGATTTTAGGGTGAATCTTATCTTAAGCACTTATCTTCAGTGAAGGGACAGGCTTTGATCTCCATTACCCCCATTGGAAAGGAACCCAGCTGTTTTGATTTATGTCTTTTTTTCCGTTGGTGAATTTGATTCCGTATATTAAAGTAGAAATTGATGATAATTTTTTATGCTTAAATAAAAAGAAGGGGAAAAATGAAGACAAGATCTCAAAAATTATTTCAGAAAATTACATCAGTCGAGTTGCCTGGACTTACATATTTGCTTTGAAAACACAAGTCCATAGCTCCAGGTGGTCTTATGGGATAGTTGCTTTTCTGTAGTTAATGTTTCTAAAGAAATGTTCATAACGATCATCTGAACTTTGGCAGCTTTTGAGAGTACAGTCAGGAAAATACTGGATAGGCCATTTGCTACTGTGGTCTCATAATCACAGCTGGAGAAAACAAAGATAATGTCTGAATCAGAGCTTTCTGATTATTATTTTTGTCCTTTGTTCACCTCAAAATGTGTTAATAGCAAAAAACTTGGGGATGGAAATAGACAAAAATTTCCCCCCAGTCCTCCCTGTAGAAAGCACTAATTTTTTTGATCAGATATTATATGGTTTTATTTCAGATGCTTAATTCTGATACTGTGAGAACTGAGAAGACAAAATCTCACTTTATGAAAGACAAAACTTTTATGTAAAATTTCCTCTAATATATTTTTTTACTCCAAGAATGGAACACATAAAATGTCAGATCCTATAGAGCTGTAGATATATGGGATAGTGGTGTCATTATTACTGGTTAGTCTGAGGATAATGGCTAGAAAGTAATTGCAGCCACAGCTGATGAATCATTTCACTTAGATTTTGTGGAAATGGAGTTCAGCTGTAATTATTTGTTAGAGTACCCTGTTGATGTGCTACTTTGTTACTAAATAGCTGTATCTATAATAAAGCAATAATAATGAAGAAAAAAAAAAAGATTGCAAGGGACTCGCTCTTCAGCTCTTGGATCAGATCAATAGATGATGGAAACATGTTTTAGTTAAATGTTCTTGAAAAATATTAATTACAGAACAGAACATTTAGGTGATCAAACTTGAAAATATTTGTTTCTGATAATGGTGGAATTTACAGAAAGAAAGTGTAGATGGAAAAATGAAGACATTTAATAGCCAAACCATCTAATAGGAATTTTAATTTTTTTTTACTTGCTTGATGACAAGTTCAGAATTTAGAGTTGATGTGAAGTTGACACGTAGCCTAGAGGGCAGGTGGAGGGGACAATAGAAGGATTTGGTCTCTTGAAAGTTTTTGTTTACTGCCTGTCTGGAGCTTTGACAAAGCTCTGTCATGCCCTTATGCTGATTACCTTCATGTAGAACAAGAAGTATTGACTAATGAATGAATGATGTGAAGTCCCTAACCCTTCCAGAGCAGCCTTAAAGAGCGCTGTCTTTAATGCGCGCCTTCTCCTTTCTGTCTCTCCCCACTGCAGGCTTCTCTGCAGAATGTCAAGCAAAGATCGACACATTGATTCCAGCTGTTCGTCGTACATCAAGACGGAACCGTCGAGCCCCGCCTCTCTGACGGACAGCATCAACCACCACAGCCCCGGTGGCTCCTCCGACGCCAGCGGGAGCTACAGTTCCACCATGAATGGACATCAGAACGGGCTGGACTCGCCTCCCCTCTACCCCTCGGCCACGGGGCTCGGGGGCAACGGGCCGGTCAGGAAACGGTACGATGACTGCTCCAGTACCATTGCTGAAGACTCACAGACCAAGTGTGAATACATGCTGAACTCCATGCCCAAAAGACTGTGTTTGGTGTGCGGTGACATTGCATCAGGGTACCACTATGGAGTGGCCTCCTGCGAGGCCTGCAAGGCTTTCTTCAAGAGGACAATTCAAGGTTGGTTTTTTGCTAAGCTTCCTTTCTTTTGCTCAGAATGAAAATGTGTAGTCTTTGGCTGAAGCCCACTAGGACTTCAGGCTGTGCCTTTTCATTCTTCGTGCTTCTTGGTCCTACAGATGCTGCTCATGAAGAAGCCCCTTTGGGCTTCCTTGGGAGTTCTGTCTGTCCCGTTTAGCCCAATGCCGTGTTTATTTTGATTCCAAAAAATAGAAGAACACTGGAGCTAACCAGTTGTTCAGATGCATTGTTCAGATTTGTTTTCTCAGTGAGTTTGTCTGGATTCCCATGAATGATTGTTGCGAAGAAAGTTCCTGAAGGTTGTCATGGACACCTCTTGAACACGCCTTGTGGCTGGCACACAGGATCGTGCTCATGTGTTGCTCATAGATGCACCACTACTGTGCTCAAATTTCTGTTACAGAAATACAGTTTGTGTTTGTTGAAGAACCAGTGCCTGTAAAATTGGAACAAAAACGCAGTGGGTGTAGTGCTTTGTGCATATCAGTGTATTGACAACCGGTCTTTCACCCACTAAATACAGTGGTCTTAAATGGGTTCGTCAAATAACTGTAAGATCACATTCTAAGGAGAGTAAGTTGGCAGCATTTGGTCTCTGCTCAGTATTTTTTACTAATCTGCTCTTGATATCTATTACAAATATGCCACATATTTTGGCATAAATTAGTACAAATGGGAAAATTTGCATGACTGCTTCTTCCAGCTTCAGAACCTATGGAGACAAAATAACCTTCTACTTTGATTTAGATATCATCCTTTCAAGCAAAATTGAAGGTGCTTTATTTAAAGAACATGAGGCCAAGCTTGGCCTGTGCAGGAATATAATGTCACATTAAATTAAACTCAGACTTCAGAGACTAAAATTAGGTTGCTAAGTCCAAATTTAAGCTCCTCAATAAAACCTGCTTGATTTTCATACATGTTGAGCACCCGAAATTCTCAGGAAAGGCAATGCAATCTGCTGATATACTTTTCTTTTTAAGAATCAACATAAAGCTAGCTTCAGTTTGTAATTTCACATAACTCCAAATTCAAAACGTTTGGTCAAGATTTTAAGAGCATATTGTTTCCATATTTAATGTAAAATAATTAAGGAAAAATACTGTATGTTAATTAGATTTATTTATTACTGAGGCAGTGACCATTTTATTATTCTCCCTTCCATTTTGCTGCTGGGGAGATTTGGGCCTTTTACCAGCAAGAAGTACCCATTTTATGATGGCCATACTAAAAAGAAACATTAGACTTCAGTACTTCTAACAGAGCTGAATGTTACACTGCTGGCAACCAGTAAACAACGATTTGTAGTGGTGGCCTGGGTTTATATGTAAAGTGAGCATACATACAGAAACAGAATGCTCATTTCAAGTGTCTGTTTTGGAAAAAATAAAAAAAAATAATAAAGAAGAGGTAGGTGATTTCACTTGACCTTCAAGAACATTTTCAGAAAAGCTCAAAAAATATTTCTACTAAAGCAATTTGTATTTTGTGGTTGCTAAACTTCAAGCACCAATTTCAACTAGCAACTCTGTTTTTTATAAATGGTATTTAATTGCTGTGTAATCGCTGTCCTACAGGACTGAATTGATGCACGATTATTTTAGTTACATTTTGAGCACCAAAAAAAAAATGCTACAGATACAAAAACTGATTGAAGTGTTGACTTCTGGCAGTAATAGGTAACCTGCAATTTTACACCACACCACAGACAGCAAGTTTCTGGGCATGGGAGCACAAGGCAGAGACGTCATTCTCCAGATTAGCAACCTGGACTTGGCCACGCAGCTCAAGTTAGAACTGGCAGCTGTGCAAAAAGTCTCAGTGCAGTTAGAGCACGAGCTGCATCAGCAGGTGACAGTGCTGTGAAGACAAAAAAAATGCAATAGGGCAAAACCAAGCATTGAAAAGAAAAGCCATAATGAAGAAACTGAGAATAGGAAGTATGTTATCCATCATAATGTCATGGCAGCATCTTCGGCAATGCTCCTGACTAAACTGGCAAAAATACTGAGGGTTTTCAGGTGCTGTCCAAAATAATAGGAGCTACTGGGTTGAATCAAACCATGGGTTGTGGTAGGTGGCAAAAAATATATAGGAAAAAGGTGCCTCCTCATGATTTGAATGGGAAAATTCTGCCTTTAGGCTTGCATGAAGAATAATTCCCCTGAGGTTTTTTGTTCTAATTGATAGAATTTAGTTCCAGTGTTCTGGAGGTCATTCTTCCCTGCACCATTTCACTTCCTTGTTCATATTAGGTTCCTTCTCTCTGCTTGTTTTTAAATGAGTTTGCTGCTGCATAACTGCAAATAAGAAAACAGGAAAACAGAAGTAAACACAACAGACTTTGAAATACAGAATAGAAAACCTGGCTGCCTGAAGAATAAAATACTGTAACTGTGCATATGTAGGGATAACATGTTTCAGCTCAAAGAATTGCTTATTTTAAATGCCAATAACTTAATTGTGATGGGTACTTTATTATAGATTCAATTAAAAAGAGCATATGACTTCCCAAACCTTTGTTGATCATTCATTAGTTTACTGAATTAGCTCAGACTTGTAGTTCCTCAGTGCTATTCCTGTTGAAATGATGGGCACAACCGCCCTGACTTCAGGGAGAGGAAGGCTGAGCAGATAAAGGCAGATTATGAAGCACATCCTGTGTTCATGTAAGGCCTGGTGTCCTTTCCACTGAGTCAATGGGAGTCTTTCCAGGGGAGTCTCTTGAGGTGTCAGTGGGTGGAGGCCACAGGCAGCTGCTCAAAGAGCCAGCACAGTTCAGTTTTTTGTGCACCACCAGCATCTCACACAAGACAGAAGCATCACAGTGCACCTGGTAGCTCCTGCACAAGGCAAATATCACTCTAATGTAGAGTATACACCTGTCTTTAAGGGTAATGGAGATTATCATTCCCTTTCAGATTTAGCAATTTAGTCTAAAAAAACATCCATTCCTGCCTCCTGGAATCAATTCCTGCTAATTTTCTTAAATGTTAAGAAATTAAATGAATTCTTCTTTTGACGTATAAGAAGGAGTAATTTTGTCTTTTTAGAATATATGTTTTTAACATAGCCCAAAAATACATTTGCAGTTTTGGTAAAAGTATGCAAAATTATGATAAAAATCAATAATATTAGGAAAAAAATAGAAAAAAGCAATTTCCTGGCTAAAAAAAAAGAGAACAAACCCACCAAAAAAGAGCTCAATATATAAAATTGATGTCTTCTTAGGTCATAGTAGAATGCAGTGATGTTCTGCCCCTTTTGTGAGATATAAGATATGGAAGAACTGGATGTTCTCTCTGCTCAGCCTAGTACTCACTCAGCTGCAGCTCTCAGTTTGCTTCTGGGATAATTTACATGGTGGCTGATTGCAAGTGTCTCACAGAAATACACACACAGCCAAATCTTCCCAAAATTGGCTTAACATCAGGGATAGTAGAAAATAGCAACATCTAAAAATAGTTACAGGTCCATTGATTTTTAGGGTCTCTTCACAGTTTTTGCTGTGCACTGTATTATCTTGAAAACTCCAAGCTTTCATTAAAAGAAAGAGAGGGGGAAAAAAAGAATTTTCAGTTGTCAGCTGGGTGCAAAGTCTTGTGTTTGACACAGAGGACTTGTACTTGCTAGATTATTAGGTTATGCTAGATATTTTGTAGTGAATATTTTGTGTAAATATATTTCTCATAATTTTTATTTGGTCAGTTATCATAAAGACTACTAAGTACACATTTTCATTAATAATATGTAATTACTCAGTGCTTCTAATTTAAACATTTCAGGAGGTGGATTGAACTGGTATTCTTACTTTCAGGGAAAGGCTGAGATGATAGGACTTACAGGTTCAAAAGGCAGTTTATTACTCTGTTTTATGTTAGCATTTTTCTCTCTAAAATAATGGCCTGCATCTAGAAAACTTTCATACTCCTTCCTTTCAAGCTGTCCAGACTATTGTCTTTGGATTCTTTATACTAGCCTGAAAAGACAGTGTGCACATTCCTTGTAAGGTTTCTTGCAAAAGTCTCAGATTTTACTTATAATTTCCTTGGCTCATGTTTGAATTTTCTCCACAAAAGCTAAATATTTTGCATTTAGTAGTCTTTGTTCTTGAATTTTTATTTTTTGGGGGGGAGTTGTTTATATGTTTATTTTTTGGGGAAAAGCTGTTGGGTGAACAGTAGTGAGACATCAGTCTTCTGTGTATACACAGGGTGAGTAAAGCAATAGTTAGTGAGAAGCCCTGCAGTCAGATTCTCACTGTCTCATCATTTAAGAGGTTCATCCCTGAGAGTTGCTGCCTATCCATGTCTCCTAACACACATAGGAAATACTCTATCCTTGAAATGCAGTTGTTTTCTGCCATCTCATTTTATGCTGCTAGCTAAGAGCCTTCAGCTCTACAGTTCTGCAGGGATGTTCCTGTTGTCTTCAAAGCCTGCCCAAACTGCTTTGTACTTTGTTCAGCTTTTTGGTTACTCAGAGTTGTTTTTAATCCCTCTAGTGTTCTGGTTTTTCTATCCTCTTTAGAGTGTTGACCCATTATTGAACCAGTTTGATCTGTAAAAGTATAAATATTTTACAGTAAATGTATTTTTATTTTTCAATCAGGAAGTTTTAATCAAGAAAGGTAGAGCTAGCTATGTATATTCAGATAAGGCAATATAAAATTTGATTTGACATTGCATGTGACTGAAGTGGCTTCCAAAGAATATTTTGCATTTCTGGAAGCTGTTTTCTGTAATACGTTTTTGAAGGGAAAATGAAAGCAAATTAAACAAGATTTTATGGCTTTTCAGCATCTTTTCTGATAGGTAAGATTATTGTTTTATAGGATAGGGTGGTGGCTCACATCTGCACTGGCCTGTGGACCTTGGCTTTGGTGCAAAGATGGCAGCCCTCCAGTGAGCTGAACACTAAATGTCACCTGAATCCATCATTACCTGATTAAATCATTCACCTTCCTTATATAAGTGAAA